GAGAGAGTAGAAGGCAAGCAGAGACATTCCAAGCATCCACAAGTCAATAGCTTTCACCTGACTCCGAAGCTAACCTTTACCCACCTCTACCAGAACATGTATATAGGCCATTCATGCACTGAATCTGGGACATGATTATGAAAATATACTATGCACTTTTTACTTCACCCATTATTCTAATTTATCTTCACACTCAATATGTCCAAATGCATTCCCACTTGTCATTGCCCATCAAGCTTATTTCTATTTCTATTTTAAATACCTGAAATCTAGAAAGATAATTCTCTAGTCTTCCTGATTAGAAGTCCAAGTCATCCTTGATCACTCTTTCTCTCTAAACCTAACATATATTCCAACAATTAACCCTATCAATTTTACTTCAATCACAATCCAATCTGACTCCTATCTCATTACTACTCACCTAGTTTAGATCAAAATCGGATTTAATTTAGAATGCTTGCATCAATCTACAGAACAATCAAAGGCAGTTCTGAGTTGCCAAGCTGACAAAGCAAGACACGTAGCCAGGCAATTACTGTGACAACTAGCAAAATGCAGAGCATTTAATTACATGGGCCCTATTGATGAAACTGTAGGGTCAGAAGTGCCTTGCTGTCAGAGAAATTTATGAAGACCATGGCCCTCAAATGTGTTTCGTTCTAAGTAAATCTTATGTATTTTTTCCTCTTCATATAACTTTTTTAAGGAAAAACCTCATGTGTCTCCTAAAGTAACATCCTGAATTGATCCAGAAAAAGCACTATTTTATATTATACTATAGTTTTCATTTATAAATCAATATACCTTTTTCTTCCTAGAATCTGTTCAATTTTACATTTTAAAATGATGAAATGGGGTATGAAAATGTATTCTTAATTTTTAGCTGTAAAGTATTTAGTCCACGAAAAAGCTTGGCTCTCAGTCCTAAAACCAATAAGTTAAAAGAAGAATTTAAAAGTTATAATATGATACACTTACAGTTCCGAATCTGAATCTCTTTTTGCCTTGGGGAGAGATTTACACTTCTAAAATATATGGTTACAATTTAAGATTCTCCAAAGGAGATAGCTTCCATTTCTGTGCATTGTACACCTTCTATTCTCAATGATACAGAGTTGAGAATGAGAGAGTAGAAGGCAAGCAGAGACATTCCAAGCATCCACAAGTCAATAGCTTTCACCTGACTCCGAAGCTAACCTTTACCCACCTCTACCAGAACATGTATATAGGCTATTCATGCACTGAATCTGGGACATGATTATGAAAATATACTATGCACTTTTTACTTCACCCATTATTCTAATTTATCTTCACACTCAATATGTCCAAATGCATTCCCACTTGTCATTGCCCATCAAGCTTATTTCTATTTCTATTTTAAATACCTGAAATCTAGAAAGATAATTCTCTAGTATTCCTGATTAGAAGTCCAAGTCATCCTTGATCACTCTCTTTCTCTCTAAACCTAACATATATTCCAACAATTAACCCTATCAATTTTACTTCAATCACAATCCAATCTGACTCCTATCTCATTACTACTCACCTAGTTTAGATCAAAATCGGATTTAATTTAGAATGCTTGCATCAATCTACAGAACAATCACAGGCAGTTCTGAGTTGCCAAGTTGACAAAGCAAGACACGTAGCCAGGCAATTACTGTGACAACTAGCAAAATGCAGAGCATTTAATTACATGGGCCCTATTGATGAAACTGTAGGGTCAGAAGTGCCTTGCTGTCAGAGATATTTATGAAGACCATGGCCCTCAAATGTGTTTCTTTCTAAGTAAATCTTATGTATTTTTTCCTCTTCATATAACTTTTTAAGGAAAAACCTTATGTGTCTCCTAAAATAACATCCTGAATTGATCCAGAAAAAGCACTATTTTACATTATACTATAGCTTTCATTTATAAATCAATATATCTTTCTCTTCCTAGAATCTGTTCAATTTTACATTTTAAAATGATGAAATGGGGTATGAAAATGTATTCTTAATTTTTAGCTGTAAAGTATTTAGTCCACGAAAAAGCTTGGCTCTCAGTCCTATAACCAATAAGTTAAAAGAAGAATTTAAAAGTTATAATATGATACACTTACAGTTCCGAATCTGAATCTCTTTTTGCCTTGGGGAGAGATTTACACTTCTAAAATATATGGTTACAATTTAAGATTCTCCAAAGGAGATAAATGATATCACCAGTAACTCAGTTCAATCAGAACTTCATAAATAAGATAACAAAAATCATTAAGCTCATGCTAGGTTTTATCATGGAACATTCTAAGAAAACTGAATGGTCCTATTTTGGTTCAAGTTTTAAGGTAATTGAGAGTTAACAAAGGAACCTCTTTTTCTTTCACCCATGATCCCTGAGAACCTTTCCAAAATGTCATTACCCTCCTTTGTGGAATACTTCTACTGTAAGGCAATCTTCTCCACTCACGAGTGAAAAACTCAAAATAAACAGTCTCAGTGTCTATGTTATAAAATCTGGGTATGTTGATTTTGATACTATAAAATTTTAAATAATTTAAAAAATTAATATCTCAAATTAACTTAATCCCATTCAATTCTTTTATACTAATATACCATGACTAGTAAATTTCTCTAACTTAGCATCAAAAAAAGTATTAAACATATTATTGCTCACAATTTTCTTATTTTCAAAAAAAATAATCTTCTCTTTTTCCCTGTAGTTAGCATACTAATAAAAAGTACCAGGGCTGATATTTATAGATATACCAGGAATTGAAATGGAGCAATAGGATACAGCTTGGTGAAACTCTAGGTATGACAGATGGAGCAAACAGGATGACAGTCATAGTGTCTAATCGGGTCTCCAGTCCTCCAATGTGATTCCACAACATGTGGGCTATACTTTTTTTTTAAATATATTTTTATTGATTTCAGAGAGGTAGGGATAGAAACATCAGTGATGAGAGAGAATCATTGATCAGCTAGCTGCCTCCTGCATGCCCCCTACTGGGGATAGAGCCTGCAATCCGGGCATGTGCCCTTGACCAGAATTGAACCCAGGACCCGTCAGTCTGCAGGCAGACCCTCTATCCACTGAGCCAAACCAGTTAGGGCTGGGCTATGCTTTTTTAAAAAGATATTTAACAGTTGTTTCAAAAGAAATATTAGATATGATTATTATATAACAACCAAAACTACAGATAGTACCCTACTATCTATCCTTTGACATAACCAGTCTTCTGATTTAGAATTACATTTTTAAAACATGAAAATATAAATGAGAATTAACAGTAATGTATTCACGTGAAGACAGTCAACTATTCAACTTTATCAAAATTTGTAACATGTAAATCTTTTGCACAAAATAATGAATACTAATAAATTAATAACAAAAACAATATCCAGCCTTGATTAAGCACCTGTTATTATTGAGGACTATATCCAGCAATTTGCATTTATCATTTCTAATAGTTATTACAATTGTGCAATGTATTTTAACTCTATTCACAGATAAAGGAACTCAGAAAGGTATTAATCTAAAGTAAACAGAACAACTTGATGTTGTAGACCTACTAATTTCACTGTCTAACTACGGTGTCTTCTCTTCCTGTTATATGGCAGAGACCCTCTAGGACAGGCTCACATTTCACGGTACTACATCTATTAATGCAAATCTTTTGTTTCAAATCAGAAATTTTTTGAAAAAATTTCAGGTCATATTCATTTTACACTTATTTTAAATTTTACGAGTCAATGAGACTAGCATATTAAAGGAAGCCAGTGACATCTGAAAATCAACATAATAACTAGGTAACAACTCAATATAGAATATAGATAATTGCTCAATTAAGATTATTTATATCCTTGAAATCTCCCTAGGGAAATTTCCATTACCTTTAGTTCAGAAAGTTGGCCTGGCAAAAGTAAATATAGACTTTTTGAGATTTGGTTTAAAACATAGATTCCCAATTTTCCTTTCTTCCCCATACAGGAAACTTTTATACCCAATTTTATACCCAAGAATATCTCTCTAATGCCAAGTTACTTTCAGATTTCATTAAAACAAACAAAAATAGAAAATCTTCTTGTGCCTTAATTTTTATTTTAGTGCTCCAGACTATTTTGAAATAAAATTCAACAAAAGCATTCAACTCAGTGTCTCCTCCACATGTAACAAGTTTTAGAAAACAGACCTCCAAGTCAAATAGCATACTTATTTTCAAATATAGCAATCACACTACTCTTAAAACACAATACAACTCTTTGATATGTCAATATAACTATTATAAATGTTTTAAGTGATATTAATAAAGCATAATTTAGATACTTCTAGAAAACACAAATATTTTCAAATTTTAATATAAGCTACAAAAATTACAGTTTTAATGTGAAACTTTTAAAAGAAATAATAAATAACAAACATATTGGGGATACAAAAATTGCACTGAAATAAAACAATGCCTATAACATATATTCCTATATGCATATTTATTTTTAAACAATTTTTAAAGATTTTTATTGATTTTTAGAGAGAGGAAGGGAGAAGATGAGAGAGAGAAAAACATCAATGTCAGAGGAAAACATCGATCAGTTGCTTCCTACATGCCCCAACCAGGGATGGAGCCCACAACCTGGGCATGTGTCCTGACCAGGAATCGAACCAGCAACCTTTAGGTGCATGGGACGATGCCCAACCAACTGAGCCACATTGGCTAAGGCACTATATTCATTTCAAAAAATGAAAGCCATATTTCGTGTTTTATAAATACAGGGGTAGGTAAAAGGATGTTTAGAGCTGTGAGTAGGCAAAACACAAGGGTTTATTCTTGTATTATTTATTGTATTATTTTCATACAAACAACCATAAACCTACTTTTGCCTGTATAAACCTCTTTTGCTGCCTCCACATTATACAAGAGCACATGACAACCACATTTTCTTAATTGATAAGAGAATAAGAGAATCGTTTTCATCATTTCTTAACATTACAGATAATATTAAGCCTTGTCAGAGATGCCTACCTCTGTAGTAGAAGTCTTTGGACATGTCTATGGGAGCCCGTTCTACTGCTGATCTCTTGTAGACAACATGAATCCTTCCCTTTTCTTCCTCCATCTGCTTACCTCTTTCCAAGGGTTCAATGAAATACTCATCATCATGACTTTTTATCATTCCAGCCTAGAGAAAGCAAAAAATGTATTAATTTCTTAAAGAAATATCTACCCCCTTTACCTCATGAGTACCTTTTCTAAATTGTAAGAATTTAATTCTTACAATTAAACTAATGCTTTTTCTTTCCACTTTTGGCTATAAATTTAAAATTGTTTAAGGTATTATGAGATATCAGTAATTCCTATGAGGTATAAATTCATGTATGACAGGACTAAAAAATTCATTTAAGATAGAATAAGAACTTTAAATGCGGTAAGAATAAGAAAATTATACAATGCATACATTTCGTCAAACTGCAAAAGAAGTGCATTTATATATTCTACTTGGTATTTTATCTCTAAAAGAAATCTTATGGAGCAAGTAAACTGAAACATTTCTAGTTTCCTGTAACAACTCAGTGTGGACCTTCTGTACAAGCATGTTACCCTTTTTTTAAACTCATTTACATCTCACTTCCATACTACTATGCTATGAGAGGAGTAAGTCCCATAGTGCACTCAGTACATAAACTTATTTCTGCCTTTAATTAGCCTTTTTACGCTTCATTGAAAACTCCAAGTTTCTACTTTTATTAAATTGAAAAACTAACTCATATTTGTTCTATCTTAATCTAACATCATGATTTTATATATATTATTTTCCTTCTCAAGTTTCATCCTTCACACTGAAAAGATTATTCTTACATTTAATTCTTTCCACCTCTTTTTTTTAGTGTCTCTTTCTGTTTCATCTTCTTTAGAAAATGAATGTTTATTTAGAAAACCCCAGGACTATATTCAGTATTATAGAAGAGAAATGATGGTTTTGTTTGAAATTTGTTCTTAAGTATCAAGTCTACATTACAAATAGTTGCATTTATCTACTTTAAAGGTCATATATCAATATGTATATTAATTTAAATTTCAGTATATTTATTTGAAAACAATGTTGAAAAAATAACGTTAGTGTGGAAATTGTAATTATTTCAAAAAATATATCAGATCGAAAAGTTAGTCATATTTTTCTTCTCAGGCCCTTAACTTATTCTGTATTTTCACAGGTCACTGGCCTTTATGGAACATGATCAGGGAGAGGAATTTCTCATCCTTTCTAATTCATGTTGGTCTAATGTCTCTACAATTCTGGTATCAAGCAACACAGAAATGAAAGGTAGGCACACATTACCAAATAGCATTTGTTCTCAGTAAATACAGCTCTGACTGTAGCTTTTCTACCGCATTCAAATCTGTACCTTGCTCCTTTCCATTTGGACTTCTACCACCAACTACATACGTGCTAAGCCTCACAGGGAGGTCTTACCAACTATAATGTCTCCAGATGCCAATTCTACACCCACCTAGATGCTGTGCATATATAAACAGCCCTTGAATCTATGGGGCAATATCTTACAAGGAAACATCACCAGAGTCCTTTCATCACACTTAGCCTTTACGATCTTAAAGAAACTCTGGCTGTAACTAAAAAGAACATTGACCTGAAGACTATTATGCTAAGCGAAATAAGCCAGCTTAGAGAAAGACAAATAGCACATGATCTCACTTATATGTGGAATCCAATGAACAAAATAAACTAACAAACAAAATAGGCCCAGAGGTATGGATGCATGGATCTTCTATTTCCACTGCCACTTTCTTAGTTACAGACCTCATCATTGCTCATTTGGATGACAGAAACTACCTCCTATCTTGAGACTCCCATAGATCATAATGATTCTCCCAGTGAATGCCTAACTCTGGATGGAAACAGTGGTCACTGAAGCATTCAGCAACTCTGAGCAAAGAGCAATGGCTATTGGGGACACTTGAAAGTGATGGGGAGGGTAGTGAGGATTAGCCCACATGCCTCTGACATTTCTCCATACCTTCTATTGCAAATACTCAAATTCCAAGCACCATAGTGTTACTTTCCCCTCTAGACCATAGGTAGAACGAAATTAACAGCTAAACCTCCCCCTTAGAAAGCAATTAAAATTTAAGCCAGATTGAGGTAATATCATTGGCATGGCAAGAGCTGGGTCATGTGACCTCCAATAATTCTATACAGAAAATCTGAGAGCCTATTCTTGTATTCATAATTATATTCATTAATTTTTTTAAAAGTTAATTTTAAAAAGTACTGAACTACACACCATGATAAATAAAAAATTCTCAAAGACATGGTTTATTTGCCCTCCAACTGAGGGCATTCTAGTCAAATAAATAAAATATATGCCAAAGGTATTCAATGAGATATGCTATGGAAAGTCTAGAAAGTGAGTGATATGGCAGTTGAGAGTCAAATTAAGTGAGTGTTTTTTACACTCAATCTTACTGCACAGCAAACTATCAGTAGGAGCTGTTGATTTTACATCCAAGATTATCTAAAATCTGTTTTAACTGAAATCTCCCTAGTCTCCATCACAATGGGTCTTCACTTGGGCCGCTGCTATTGTTCACACTGTCTCACATTTTCACAAAGCTCAGCAGCCAAAACTGTTCTTTCAAAACATCATATTAATTTTAGATAAACTAGAATGTGGTAACACATGGGCTGAGCATGTACGGACAGCTCAAAAATCAGGTACTTCTTTCTTGCTCACATGCAAGTTCAGGACAGTTCTATGCAAGCTGACAGGAGGTTTGGTTCCACACAGACATGCAGGTGTCCAGGCTGATGGTGCTCTGCCATTTCTATACAGCTCCCAAGTCTGCCCAGTCAGAAGGGAAAACAGCAGGAGGAAGCCTACATGGGAGGGTGTTATGAGCTAGCCTTAGTCCAGTATTTACCACTACCACTTACTTCCATGGGTCGAATGCACAGCCAACAGCCAAGAGAGGCAGGAAATGGGATCTGGCTGTGTGCCCAGGGAGAAAAGACAACTGGATTTTGATGAACAGATGGCAGTCTCAACCTCAAATAAAATCATGTTACTCTTTTGTCTAAAACACTTCAATTGCTTCTCATTGCACATTGCACTTAAAACCACACTCCCTACCACAGCTTTCAAGGCCTGCATCAACTAGCCCTGCCTAACAGCCTCAAGCATTCAACTGCTAAGACTCCAGAATTAAGCCAAATAGCCTCTAAGCATGGAAGGAGCTATCACAAAAGCCACACTCCTTTCTCACCTCACTATTGCCCCAGAATGAGGGGCTTTTGTTCAGTTTTAGGTTTTCCTTAGATGTTCTCAAGCTCTTTATAGCTTCAGGCCTTTGAAAGTCTGTTGATTCTGTCTACAACTCTCTTCTCTCACCATGCCACATTTCCCTTAGCTATTTGTTTTTCCTCTCCAGGTCTCAGCTTACTTCCCTAAAAGTGATTTTCTGACTCTCTTCCCACATAGACTAGGTGACCCCAAATAAATTAGAGCCCATCTTAGCCAATCATTCTGACTCAGGAACAGTGTGTTCTTTCTTCTCAACGAAAATTCCAGGTTGTTTTACCTGAATGCCAAATTTATTGTTCTGTCTCCCAAGGCACTGTCAGTTCTGGAGGCAGACTTGTTTATCTTAATTCACCTTTGTCTCCTTAACCACCATCACAATGGCTGGCACAAAGTATATTTTCAATACTTTTTTAATGAAAAATTACATGAATGAATGGTATAGTGAGAGGATAAAGAATTTTTAGGGACGTGGTGATCTTGAAAAGGTGGGAGGATTGTCATGCTGATGGTGTGACATAAGGCATTAGAAGTGAGACAGCTCAGAGTTGAGCAAAGGATATGAAGTGCAAAAGCCCAAGACATGCTTGAGGACAGTGAGTATCCTATTCACTCAGAGAACTGCAGGGCAGTTCTGGGAAACAAAGATATGGAGAACTTATATTACCTCAACCTACTATATAGGAAAGTCTTAAAATCTGAACTCCTGACCGTGGCCTACAAAGCCCTACATGGCCTGGCCTTCTCTATCTTTTGGGCTTCCAATGTTTTATACCTTGCTCTTTCTGCACCAACCACATGGGCCCTAGTCCCAAAGTACTACCCCCCTCTACATGAATTAGCTTCCCCTTCACTCTTATGCCCAGGTTGCGGGCTCGATCCCCAGTAAGGGGCGTGCAGGAGGCATCCGATCAATGATTCTCATCAGTGATGTTTCTACTTCTATCTCCCTCTCCTTTCCTCTCTGAAATTTAAGAAAACATTTCATTGATTTCCCTCTATGATACAAAGCCCTGCACATTGACCATTCTCTCATTCCAGGAACCAAATGGAAAATATTTACTGTATTTCTCAAATTGTTCTCCAAAATTTAAGCCAAATTTTTAGAATATTTATCTTTAATAGAGCATTAAGCATATATTAAACTTATCTTTTAGTTAAGTCTTCACACAAGCCCTCAGACAGCATTTCAGAGGGGATTTTAGAAAACAATGATCTATGCCAGAAATCCAGCTGCATAATTCCCCTCTCGTCTGGTCAACTCTTCCAGCTCCATCACTCAACCCAAACACGGCCAAGAATCCAGAATGAAGCCAAATAGCCTCTGAGCATGGAAACAGCAATCACAAAGGCCACACTCCCTACTCACTAAGAGGGGTCTTCAAGCCATAGTTGATACCCAATGCTATAAACCAGGTTAGAGGGTTTCCTAATCTTCGTCAGAGTGTAAGTGGAAGAGGAAAGTAAGGAGGGTGGGGCACAGCGAGTTTCAGATGAGATCATGTCTATGAGTGCCCTTATAAACGTTAAAGCCCTGCAACAAATATAAAATCCTAGTCTTTATAGGATGGTAATAATAAACATCAGTCACTAAGAAAAGACTAAACTGTGTTTGACTTGGTTCAAAATGAAAATCTGTAGAAAGTCATTTTAAAAGGAGTTCCAACAAGAATTACTAAGATTTTCTTGAAAATTCTGTGCCAGATATTCTAAAAAAAAATGTATGCTTTGGAGACATTCCATTTATAATTGTGACACCCAAAATTATTTTACTGCAGTGATTCTCAAATCATTAAGGCATGAGAGCAGAGCGAGGTAGCTTATTTTTTTGAATGCCAGGAAAAATGTGCCAAATAATGTAATA